CCCCCCCCCCCGGTCCATCTTATTCTGGGCTATTGTTGTACCTGTAATGCCAAATCAAATACTCCTTTAAAACAGTTCTTTCCTTCATCTGTTCCAGTATAATGGTCTTTATCTGTCTACTCTTATCCTAGTCTTCTTTCAACCTAGTGTAAATAAAGTAATGCAGAGTAATACTAGCAAGGGGATTTAGAACAAGTCACCTATCCTAGTCCTTATAAAAATTAAAGTAAATAAAACTTTAACCAACCATGTACTACTAGTTAAGGAGGCCTAATTGTCTTTAAGTGCTTAGAAGCTAGCTAGAAGATCTTTGGTTTGAACCTTCATGAGAGAAAGATGTGACCATTCGCTTCCTTAAATTACAGTATTGAAAAATAGTTGTACTCTGTATTGTGATGACTTTGAATTACTCAGCATCAGTGTCACAGAGTCAACAGAGCTGCTTAAAAAAGAATGAGTTAAATAAAATTTTTCCTTTTCATAAGGAGCTATGTATTTATTCCTCTGGTAGTAGTGTAAGAATCCCCCACCCCCACCCCTTTTAGTATAATTAGGGTTCATGGACTTTTTTTTAAATTCACCATGTAATCAGTTAATTCTTTTCTGATCATCTCAAATTTGGCTAGTAGGAGCTCTTCTTGTTATCATTATTTATTGCTATCAGGTTGTCCCTCTATTAGTCCCTGACCGGAGAAAGATAAGCAATCTTCTGTTGTGTAATTTACAGCCTTCGAAACCCACTATGAGTAAGTTCTGACTTGACAGCAATGAATTGAGTTTGGTGAGCTGATCTCCCTTTGGGAGGTTTGGTGGCATATTCTGGAGGGAGTTCCACTGCTAACTCAAAGGCTTTTTGGGATGATCCAGTATTTGCCTTTTTCTGAAGTTCACTCAGCAGGTTTTCAAATTCCTAACTGTAGCATGTATCAATATCTTTATGGCAGAATAGTAGTTTTTAGTATTAATTATCATTTTAAAGATTATTTTTTAAATGAAATAATTATAACTTGTTCCTTCATTATTTAGGGGTTTTTTTTGTTTGTTTTTAATTATTTTTGTGTGAGTGTACTGTCAAATCAGATCTGACTGGTACAGGAGGAGATTGTCCCTCCTTCCCCAGCAGAGCATCTGGTGGATTCGAACCATGCGCTTCTCGGATTGTAGTTGCAACTCCTTGCCACTAGGCCACCAGAGCTCCCCAATTTAGGCTTTTCTTAATAGAATGGTGTTGGATGAAAGATCGACAGAGAGACTTGTCTCTTTTTGCTATGCTTCCTACTTAAATGCAGAGAATTATCTCTCCTTTACTCACAACTGTATATCTCTACATTTTTCTCACAGTTCTTTTTATGAGTTATTTTGGGGTTAATTGTGTTAACATGTACTGTTTTAACCATTATGGGTGATTTCTTTCCCCAGATAAAGTTCTTTCATCACAGTCAGCTATTAACAAACCAGAACATTTAGTAATAAAATCTACCACTCCTATATTTGCTGTGCATTTCTATTCCTTTATATTACTGTTTATTCTCTTGATTTTTACATCATTTCTTTATATTCCAGGTCTGCGTATTAATGGAGAACTAATCACTGCCTACCCTCAGGTGGTGGTAGTAAGAGTACCAACCCCTTGGGTACAGAGTGATAGTGACATCACTGTTTTGCGTCATCTAGAGAAGATGGGATGTCGGCTGATGAACCGTCCTCAAGCCATCCTTAATTGTGTTAATAAGTTCTGGACATTTCAAGAGTTGGCTGGCCATGGTGTCCCTCTGCCAGATACTTTTTCTTACGGTAAGTTCACTCATAAGAAAGTGTAACTTCAAAACAACTATGAGATATCATCTCACCCCGGTAAGAATAGCAAAATTTAACAGAAGAGCAAGCAAGGAGTAATAGCAATAATAGCAAGGAGTTGGAAACAACCTAAGTGCCCATCAGCAAACAAATGGATAGAGAAGGTGTGGTATATCCACATAATGGAATACTATGCTGCATTGAAAAACAAAGAACTCATGAAATAGTTAAAATGGGTGACCCTGGAGGACATTATGCTGAGTAAAATGTCTGAGTCACAAAGGACAAATAATACTGCGTAGTGCCACTGTTATAAAATGGGACTGATGTCGAAGCTGAAGGAAGACTAAGAGGAGATAAATAATGTATATTGCATTGAAACAGATGAGAGAGAAAACGGTTTAAAAGGGATATGTGATTAGGTATTTTTGTCATGACAGGAGTCCAGAACAAGGGCTGCATAGTGGAGTGGACCTGGGGGGAGGGATTGTGAAACAATTGAAGAATTTTTCTTTTACTTTTCAAAGAGGAGCATGAACTGGGGAGCGAAGGGTGGGAAGGGAGAAAAGTGCAACAGTGAATGATTGGAAATCCAAAGTCTCTATATTTTTCTTAAAATTAGTAATAAAAAAAAGGTAAAAAAGAATGTGTACCTTAAATTTTAGAGCACTGACAATTTTGAAAACCATACTAAATAATAAGGTTATATGATAAAAGGACATTTATGAACATAAAAGAATTTCTTAGAATGTCTTTCAGTTTTAACAAATTATGGGGAGCTCTGGTGGCCTAGTGGCAAGAAGCTGCACTGCAATCCCAGAGGAACACGGTTCAAATCCACCAGATGCTCTGCCGGAGAAGGAGGCGCAATATCCTCCTGTACCAGTCAGATCTGATATGACGGTACACGCACACAAAATAATAATAATAAAAAAACCAACAAATTATAAGACAGAATTTGAATCATGTCTTAAAGATTTGTGTTCTAAAAAAATAAAAGATTTGTGTTCTATGATTTGGGATAGAGTAACTCTAGGAAACCTGTTTTTATAGTCTCACCTCAAACCTCAGTGCTGTCAGGTCGCAACCAAATCCTATATGATGCTCTCCTCAATTTTGCAAAGGCTGTAACTCACCAAAGGAGATTCCCATCTTTCTCTTGCTGAACAGTGGGTGGATTTGAACAGAGGCATGACCTTTGGGATAGCAGCTCAGCTTCCTCTAGATTAAACCAGTAGGCTTTGTAGATCATAAGATCTCCACCACAGCACTGCCATTTAAGTGTAGAAACTGTCATAAACAATATATAATGTATGTGGCCAGAGACTAAACCTGTGGTGTTTTGTTGTTGTTGTTGTTTTTTGGGTGGGAGAAATAGAATTCAATATATTTTATTTACATTTTTATTATTGTCATTTTACTCTGCTATAAATGGCAATCCGTGGATCCACACTCTTAAATATAATTCACATGTCACAACTGCTGAATTTATAGAAAAGTTTGAGCTTTTTTTTCCCCCCGTGGGTCATATATCTGTAATACCCAAGTGCACAAAAGCACACAATCACAAAACCACACTTTACTATATACAGTGTTGTTATGCTCTTCTATTTCCTGTGCTTCTAGTTCTGGTTTGGAAGAGAGTTTTCCATAAAGTTATTTCTCTAAATGAATATCCAGTTAAATTGGATGAGGCTTTACAGTGAAATCCTTACTTATTGAAAAGAATTCCTGTGTTTGTATAGCACACATAGATGCAGTTGCTATTTTTTAGCAGATTCTACAAGGAGAGACAAAATGAAATAAATGAGAATTGTGTCTTCCTGATGATTTTGCAGTATTTTAAGTTCTGTGATTATTCTGTAATAATTTTAAGATCATGGAAAGGAGAAGGTTACAATTTTGAGGTTTAAAATTTTGAAACAGAACCATCTTAATATATCTCAGCTGGAAATTTATGTACTTGTATAATGAATTTTCTGGTTTAATTTTTCTGTCACTGGTGATTCTTACAGCTATATTCTCTTTTCTGTGCCCATCTTGCTATTGTATCATTTGTTCCTGAGAAAAACCAAAAGAATAAGGAGTTAACACTGTAGCTGTTTTGTGGGGTGGTAGAGGAATAAGGTTTTGTAAAATGAAAAATATTACAGAATTAAGTTTTATTACCTGAAAGTTACTTATAATCTTGACATTGAATATCAGATTTCTTTAAACTGTATGTATTTTTAAGATAGTGGTTACTCATTTAAAGTTATAGTATTTTTTAAACTGGCTTTAATAGTCACTTTCAGCTTATATTGTTTGTTTTCTCCAAGGTAAGCAAATTTAACTAGCAGCTAGACAGCTGCTGCTGTCTTTAGTGTGGATAAAAGTATGGTAAAACAGTTCTAGTCCTATCTTTTTTTTTTTTTTTTTGCTAGGTGGCCATGAAAATTTTGCTAAAATGATTGATGAAGCAGAAGTATTGGAGTTTCCAATGGTAGTGAAGAATACACGGGGTCATAGAGGTGCGTATATAAGTTGTTTCTGTGACACATGGCTTTGAAATTACTCTTGATAGTTTGTAATTAATCTTGATCACTAATAAGAGAGATTATATAAACATTTTTCTTTATTAGATCAGTGAACTTAGATTTTTTCTGTTTGTTACAGAGTTTATTAATAATGCAATGTAATTTTTATAACTTATAAGAAATTTTTAGCAAACTTCTTAGACATAAAGTTTCTCTATAGAAATAGTATATATAGAGTTGATTAGGACATGAAAAATAAGCAGATAGATTAAAAAATGTAACAGAATGAATTGATGAGTAAAGTAATATTTGTTGTTTTACTATCTATATGGAAAATCTATTGAAAGATACTGAAGAAGACCCATGTTGTTGTTGTTATGTGCCGTCGAGTCGTTTTCGACTCATAGCGACCCTATGCACAACAGCCCTAAACCCTGCTCTATCCTGCACCAACCGCATGGCCTCTGACACACCCATCCCGATTACCCCAGTGACCGAATCAATCCATCTCATAGAGGGTCTTCCCCTCCTGCGCTGTCCCTCCACCCTCCCAAGCATGATGTCCCTCTCCAAGGACCCGTCCCTCTTGGCAACATGTCCAAAGTATGTCAGACGAAGCCCCAGAATCCTTGAAGAATAGGAATGGAAATTCATTTTCACTAAGAGGAAATGTTCCATATTTTTAATGCTGTCCCAAGTGTTTTCAAATCCACTACAACTAATAGCTGCTCTCTGAACAACAGATTGAAACTTTGCCCAAATCATGCGTATAAGACGGTTTAAAAGACCATGGCTTGAGTCAATCCTTGTGTAATCCTTAAAGTGACATCCTTCGTTCTTGGGCATTTTAAAGAGGCAATTTGCAGCAGATGTGCCCCTGGCCATGTTTTGAGTTGAGCTAATAATAATCTTTCCCCACTAATTCTGTGGGTTGCCTGTGTGTCCCCATTTGGCATGATCCATGTGTATATATAGTTACTTGTAATTATCAGTGCATCTTGATTTTTTTGTTTGGTTAAATTTCATGCTGTAGGAATAGGACAAGTTTAGATCTGTTGTTCATCGGGTCATATGAGTTGTAGTCATTTTGATGATACCTAACAACAGCATAGGGAGCTTTGGTGAAATCCCAAAGGCAAAGGGTTTGAATCTACCAGCTGCTCTATGGGAGAAGAATAGGCAGTATTAATCTGTGTGAGTTCACTGGCTCTGAAAACCCACTGGAGAGTGAGCTATGAATCAGTTCCAACTCAAGGTTCGCAACCAGCAACAACATAGTTATATATAGTGTGTGTGTGTGTGTGTGTGTGTCTAGTTCAGAGAGAGATGATTTTTTATTAACATGTGGATAAATATAAATCTAGACCTCCCCGTGTCGTAACATACACCAAAATAATACTGTAATTGTACTGAAGGAAGTACTAGAGGATAATACATTGTTTGTGTTCATATGTTTTTGTACTGTTTTGTGGTTACCATCACAACTTGATTTATACTAATTTTTCTAACAAAGGAAACTTTAAAGTTGCAGCTGATTCTGTAGAAGCAACAGGCTATCTGAGACTTAAAAAAGGATGTTTGTATATAATGGATATCAGTTGCCCACATTTCAAGGACTTAAATATTTTTTGTTTCAATCACAGGCAAAGCCGTTTTCTTGGCTCGAGATAAGCATCATTTGGCTGATCTAAGCCATCTTATTCGCCATGAAGCACCCTACTTGTTCCAAAAGTATGTTAAAGAGTCCCACGGACGAGACGTACGTGTCATTGTTGTGGGAGGCCGTGTAGTTGGAACCATGTTACGTTGTTCAACTGACGGGAGGATGCAAAGCAACTGCTCACTAGGTAAAAACAATGCAAATATTGTTCTAATAAAAAAAAATTAGTATTACCTGTCTCTTTTATACTCAGAGGAGTTCTGATGGCCTAGAAGGGACCTAAAGGCATTGTGATTTGAATCCACCAGCCGCTGTGTGGGAGGAAAACAGGCAGAAAACACCTGATTTCATCCTCTGAAAATCCAATGCAAAGTCTATGAGATGGTTCCAAAAGGATGGCACATAACTGGAAGAGCATTGAATATTCACATTTTTCTCTTGATTTTTTTAAACTTAGTAATTTGAGAAACACATCATCTGTCACATGTAAATTAGATTTTATAGATCTATATCATTATAAGAAATACCAACATATTCTGCAGATAGCATGATGATGGTTGTGAGGATTACAAATAATTTTTTTCCCCTTGTATGTGGTGTTGGAACAGCACCTACAATAACAGACATTGCAAGGTTCACTGCTTGTTGCTTTTTCTTATGTGTGAGGTCTTGATTGTTCTCATCTTCCATTCATATCTTGAGGTCTCTGGTTTAGGTCATTATGGCACTGTACTTTCTTGATTATTCCTGGGTGGGGAGTGTGAGTGATAACCATCATTGAGGGAGAATAAAATCTTGGGTTATCTATGATAATATCTCATTCTTTGATATGAGAGTTTGGCCTCCATTCTGTTGCGTTTTCATTGTTGAGATTTAGTGTTTAAGCCTGCTTATCCTCCTCCTTTTTTAGGTGATTATTTCTACTGCTGAGAAGGTTAATTAACCTTTTAAGGTTAACTTAAATTTTACTGCAAAAATATTACCTTTTTAGTAACTTTTTCTCCTGTCTCTCTTTTGCCAGGTGGAGTGGGGATGATGTGCTCATTGAGTGAACAAGGGAAACAGCTGGCTGTCCAGGTGTCTAATATCCTGGGGATGGATGTGTGTGGCGTTGACCTGTTGATGAAAGATGACGGCTCCTTCTGTGTCTGTGAAGCCAATGCAAATGTAGGTTTCATCGCCTTTGATAAGGCTTGTAATCTAGATGTAGCTGGTATCATAGCGGACTATGCCGCCTCCCTTCTGCCCTCTGGCCGGCTCACCAGGCGTATATCCCTGCTCTCCGTGGTGTCCACGGCCAGTGAGACTAGTGAGCCGGAGCTGGGTGCCCCAACCAGCACTGCTGTTGACAACATGAGTGCGAGTTCCAGCTCTGTTGACAGCGACCCTGAAAGCACGGATCGGGAGGTGCCCACCAAGCTCCCAGGGGGCCTGTTCAACATGAACCAGCTGCTAGCCAATGAAATCAAACTCCTGGTGGAGTGACTCCACTGGTAAATAATTAACCAACAAAACCCTTGTAAAACTTAATTTCTTTTTCTTTATTATTATTTTTTAAACCAACTTGCAATGCTGTTCATGGAAAACACTCAGGAAGATGAGAGCAATTTGAGTAAAATTAGTTGAGAGAAAGAAGAGCAAGAGACAGATCAGATCTCTGCTAAATGTGTGACTGATTTTCATTTGTGAATCCTGTAGATCTGATTTGAAAAGTTAGAGAAGTGAGGGATAGAAAAACTTAAGGCCTCATAGTTATCTTCTTAAATTACTAAAAAAATTGTATGCTTGAGGGCCGTGAGAAATATGATTTTTTTTTCTCATGATCCTTTACATATTTTATTTTACACTGTTGGTATAAATTTCACAGTACCATGACTTTACATTGTCTCAAAAATTTATACTAGGTGGGGAAAAATGTGTAAATTATAGAAATTTTATTAAAAAATCTTTTAACTCAAATTTCTCCCATTTCTATATTAAATAGCAGTCCATAGTTGTTTCTAAAATATTGAAGGACTCTCATTGGGTTTTCTTAAGTTTTGTTCTCCCCCTCCCCCCCCCCATTTATTTTTGTGGAAGGGCAAGGTACGTAAGACCCAATAAAAGCTCCCCCCCCCCCAATAAAAGCTTTTTAATGAGAAAATTGGTGTGTTTGCATGATGAAAGGAAATGAACAGTATTGCAATGTCTGGCATTGAAAATAACATTTACTCCTATGTAGAGAAAATGACAGTAGTTTAAATATGTGCATTGACTTGTATTTGTTAGTGTTTTAGTCTTATGGAAAGATACATGCTCTGTTAATGTTGCTCTTTTTTAAAAAAGAAAGAATATAAAAATACATGCTAGTCTAACATTCCCTGCTCTATGCCTGCATCTTTAACAATGGCCAAAGTGAAGAAAAAATGCTACCTTTTTTTTTTGTTAACAAGACACTACTGGCTTGAAACATGTCTTTTAAAATCTTTTTACTTTTGGTGGTTGGGTGTTTAAATAAGGGCAAGGAAGAATACTTTGGGGAGGACAAATCAAGGGCATGTAATTTCTTAAGTATAATCTAAAGTGATTTCTAATGCCAAAATTATATTTACAATTTTCATATTTTAGGAGGGTGTGTATTCATGCATGTGCGTGTACGCATGCATGGGTATGTTTTGCTTTTTGTTTACACCAATCAAAAAAGAGTATCCCCTAGTATATGGAGCATAATGGGAAACACAAACTTTTAACTTTAAAATCAAAAATTTTTATAACGGCTAGGGTAGTAATACCTATCTGAAGATACAAGAGTAGATTCTTTATAGGTTTTCTGTGTATATGTATGTTGTTTGGTTTTTTCTTTGGTTATAATATGTTCAGTGTGCGATTTATTCAAGGGTACATGCTTCCGGCTGTACATTTTCTCTTACAACATTTGGGGTAGGGGTGCACTAGACAATTTTTTGGGGGTGATTTTAGTTAGCAGTATTGAGCCCTACTCCTACACCTTTAATACTCTGCTTTCTTTATATCCATTTACTTTATGAACTGGTAAAAAAAGATTCCCAAACTATGTATGATTTAAGCTTTTAAAACATGAGTAATACTCCATTGATGGATTTGGAAGGTGTGCTATAAAGGTGCTGCAGAGCTCAACCTAATTTTTTAGTCAGTTTTATCTTCCCCACACTTCTCCAAAGCTTTTAGTGAAGCCCTTTCTTGCCTATCCAGTGCTCTTTTCCTTTAGATGGACCTTAGACATAATTTCTTGGACACTACTAGAGAGACTTCAAGGCAATAATAAAAGATCAGTATTAACCAGCTCTAAAAGAGGTTTGATAATATTTGCTTACTTGTACAGTTCTTCCTTCATTTTAAAAAGGAATTTCATGAAATATGCGGGGTTTTCCCCCAGAATTAAATAATATTAAAATTGAGTGAAAAGTTGATTGTGACAGTTACCTAATATATACACTATCTCATTTCACTTCAGAAAAAGATATACATTTCTAACTTAATTTAGGATCTTCTAATCTGACTTAACCAGAGTTAATGGGAGTTTCTCACACATGTGTACACACATATACACAGTAATTGGTACTTGGTACCATTAGTGGGAAGAAATATTTGCAACTTCTTTTCACTGAATGACCATCATGAAGAAGTGAGTATGTTATTTGGTAATAAGAAATAAAGGAAGAAAGAATTCCTTTATTAAAACATCATTCTTACATATATTTGTGCAGAGGCCATCTGGTTGCATTTATGATACATATACTTTAGCTCTGTATCACATGTTTGTACCATACAGCAGCTTCTCTGTTTAATAACTCAAAAGGTTTATGGTAGTGAAACTAGAAAAATTGTTGTCTAGGTATATGATTTTTTAATAAAAAAAAAAAGAAAACAAACTTCTACCAAGTTAGCCATCTAGAAGAAGTAGCTGAAATTATTTGCCCCTTAGTTTACTCACCATCTTTTTTCCACTCACATGGCATCAGTATTGTACACACACATGTGAGAATAGAAAGGGCAAGAATGGTCTAAGACATCAAAAACAAAATATAATTATAGAAAAAAAAACCAAAAAAAATCGTTATCTTCATGCATCCTCTCAAAAATTAAGATGAAGAATATGAAGAAATTCTGGAGAACCCCGAATGAAACAGCAGCAGAAATTTAAGTAAAAATTAAGTTTATTTTTATAATTGTATAATAACTTTTGTATAATTTTCATTGATATTTTTGGAGGTAAAAATGTACTTATGAAATGCATATGATTATCATGCCAAAATCTGGATTACTGTAAAATTTGTGTATTGACATTGTATTTATAAATTGTGTTTAAAGAATATTCTTTCTCGTTTTTATGTAATCTGTGAAAACTAGACTATACATACATACATCCATACATCCATTCATGTATATATAAGTATGAACTATAAGTAATAGTTTTTTTCTTTTTTGGAGCCTAATATTGATCATTTCTGCCGAATTTTTCTTCACTGAGCTTTGGAATCTTTCTCTATGCTCTCAATAAGAAAACTGCACTGGAACATTTAGAGAAATCCAATGAGAGACTTGTTATCATCAAGCACTATATCAGACTTTGAGAATGTATCGAAGACATTGAAGAAGTCGACTTTTGAAATCATCACTTCTTTTTCTGGAAGAGAAAATGGAAGAAACAAAATTCTCTACATTCTGTGAATCCCTATTTTGGGAACTGGGGGGCTTAGAGACTTTGTGAAATCAAATTTTTGTGTTATATTTTTCTCCTGGCTCACTCTTTTTGAGAAGGTATATGGGCTATATGGCTGGTGAGACACGATCCCCTCCTAAGAAAATGTAGGTGCTCAGACAGGTAACCTGCTGCTACTGTTTGTTTGTTTGTTCGTTTAATTTAATTTCAGTATTTTTGTTGTATTAGGATTTTAAAAATGTAATATATTGCAGGATTTAAACCAGGTTCACTGCTTTCTTTCTTTCTTTTTTCCTTATAAAAAACCCAAAAACAAAGTTTCATTTAAAATACATTTATTTAGGCGCCTTTGAAGCTTGGATTTTGGAATGTTTCAGTAGTGGACAGAAATCTGCTGTTGGAATCTTCTAGTCTTCCAGGTTTAATTTGACACACTTTAGTTTTGATTTTGGATTTTTGTGTGGTATTTTATTTTATACCAATCTGTGCCCTTTGCCATGCTGTTTTGGGGTGCCTACCTAACTCTAGTGAAAATTATTTCTATATTAACTGAAGTTTGGCTTTTAAAAATTCCTTAAAGTTTTGCATTTAAAAGAATTGTTTTTAAAAGCATATTCTAACTCCTTGCACTGTTACTGTTCTTTGCCAGCCTTTTCAGGAGCCAAAAAATCAAAACCAAACAAACAAAAATATACCCAGAGAAAAAACTTTCCTTCTTCCCCCTTCCTGATGATGAGTGAGAAGTATTGAGAACTTTCGGGGTCAGTGCCCTTCTAACTCCCCTTCCCCCAATAATGCAGCTGTGTAATGAATGGTAAACGCAGCGATTTGGATTCAGGCACAGCCCCGCCTGCTTGCAGGTAATTTGACTCTCTCCTTTCTTTGCATCACTAGGCTAACTTTTTCCTTCTGCTTTTAAGGCAACCTTAGTTTTGCAGTAACCCTCATCTGAAATAGTGTATACATTTATCAAGTGAATTACTTGAGTGAAGAATTTTTCGGGGTATGGTTTTGAATTGGTTGGGACTTGCTTGGGGGTTTTAGTTGTTTTGATAACTCCATTCTTTGCGTATATGTCTATGATTAAGTATTTCAGAGTGTGACCTTTTTTGGCTTTGTTTTTGTTTTGGGTTTGTTTGTTTCTTCCATTGTGCTACTCTGGCTTAAGCTTTTTCAGGGGTTGATGTTCCGAATACACAATGAGCTCACAGTATAAAGACATCATTTAGGATTTGACAGGTATGGAAAAGGTAAAATTAGGTTTCAGGTTATATTTATGGTAAAAACTCACCATAGTATTCAGCTGTTTCTGTGACAAAAAGGTGATGTAGGATTAAAAACAGTTCTTTTAGGAGCATTGTTTTTTAAAAACATTTTAGTATTTTAAGATACTGATGTTAACAAGATAAAATGTAGATGTTTCAGATTATCTCCATTATTTAAACATTAGAGAATGAGTTTGAGTAGATTGAAGGGAAATTCTGGAGATAGGATGAGTAAAACAGATTAACCAAGGCCATAAAATAAGTTAGTGGCAGAACAACTTTTCCATTTTAATAGCTTTTCTCTGCCACCTAGGCATGCCCTTTTATCCTCTTCCCATTATATCCATAACTTTTAGCTATCAGTGTTTTGGAAAATAATCCTTATTCTAGCAATTACGGTTAGTGAAAGTAACCTATCTTTTAAAGATGTATTTCTATATCATTTTACCCTGTGGTTTTAGTTGTCTTATCTTAAAATATAATCACAAGTCCAAGAAATTATTAATTAATATTAGATCCTAACTTGTAATGTTATTTCTATATATGAAGTCATGTAAGAAGTCACTAGCTTGTTTTGTTCATTCATAGGATAGGAACAATGGCTTTTTAAAGTATTCACAGACAAAAATATTTATCTCTTGATCTGTAATTTACTAACAAAAGAATACCGAATGGAATTTGTGA